CAACCTTTACCTTTTTTTAATTGATATTTTACAGATGTAGGATGTATGCTGCTATGTTTCTTTCACTAATTGGTTAATATTTGTCAAGTGCTGCAAATTGTAAAATTGTTTGAGCTGCTCTTTAAGGTCCTAACTGTCACAAAAAGGCATGAGAACTATGCTCCCCACTATCAGTTCATTCACTCCTAAGTTTTGCCCTGCCTTCTTCATAAAATAGGTCTAAAGTACTGTCTTCCCACTATAATAGGGAAGATCCTTTCTTTGCTCTTCTTGGGACACCGTGGCTATCCTTCATAGTAGCTTCCCATCCAAGTACTAATGAGACCCAATGCTGTGTTGCTACAAAAATCACATAAAAGGAAGCATTCTTAAATGGACCCATAACTGGAATGCAGGGAGTTGCCTTATCATACATATCATACTTTGCTCCATACAGACCAATATTGTCTACTCGAACTGTTAGTGACTATTTGCTGAGATTTCTGGCAGGATTCTTTCCTGGCCCCATAAGGAAATCCACATTATACTCTCCTGATGGTCTTCCGTCCAAGTAATAACTAGGCCCAAAACCACTTAACTTCAAACACATTTAATGCTTTGTAGAACAATATTTGTCGAAGCAAACGGGCCTTATTGTTTTAAAGCTCTGCAGAAGATAGCTAGAAAGAACTTCTACTTATATTATATGTCAGCAATGACATATTTGGGGCAACAGAGCTCATTAAAATTGGGATATTTGCCAGGATATTAATTAGGTAATGTAAAAACAAGCAAAAGGAAATAACATGGTGGAAGAAAAATTGTTGAACAACAGAGAAGCTGACAAAAGGGAAGCAGGGACTCCTCTTTTAAAACTAATTTATGTATAAATGAGAGTATTTTAAAGTTACATGTAATTACAATAGCGATGTATGTTATGTGAGAGAAAGCGTGTAGTTATGTAACTTGCTCGTGTATGTTTATACGTGTATAAGTACTGTTATTTTCTTTAATTGTATTTTTACTGTTAAAAATCAAAATTTTAAAAATGGGAAAAAATAAGGGGTATTTGCTATTATGAAAGTCAACAGCATCCCTCCTGATCGCTGGACTGCAGATAGATTTAAATTTAAAAAGCCTCACTTGGGTCAACTTGTACTTGAAAGTTTTCAGTCCCTTGGAAAAACAAGTGCTTTCCCCCTCAATATAATCATTAAGGCCCCTTCTACACTGCCATATAAAATGCAGGTTATCTGCTTTGAATTGGATTATATGTAGACTCATATAATCCAGTTCAAAGCAGATCATGTGGATTATCTGCTTTGATAATCTGGATTATATGACAATGTAGAAGAGGCCCTAGAGAGACGTAAACTTTACACTTTGGTCTCAGTCTCTCCTTAGAAGAGATAAAGAACAGGGCAGTGCCGGAATTCTCCTTGCAAAATAGCTCTGGTGTTGCAAGCAAAAACATTCCTTCACACTGCAGGTCAGGGATGGGTGGTTCTACAGAACCAGATGATCATCTTATTTTTTATTTTGATAGCCAAGTTATTCCATGAAGACACCTAAGGTGACTGGTGCATTCCTCCTCCAGATATCAATCTTCTGAACAGCCCTATGAGGTAGACCAGTGTTTCTCAAACCGTGCTCCTCCAGGTGTTTTAGACTTCAGGTCCCACAATTCCTAACAGCTGGTAAGATGGCTGGGATTTCTAGAAGGTGAAGTCCAAAACACCTGGAGGAGCAGTTTGAGAAGAACTGAAGTAGACTAATGTATAAATACACTTGAAAGGATGTAATGAGGAAGATGTAATGAGGTAGCTATTAAACTCTGATCTCGGAACGGTTGGACGTGACTGGATAGTGACTGGTAATGAAATGGGGAGGACTTATGGTTTTTACTGTGTTACTGATGTTAATTGTAATGAATTCTTTACCTGTGTTAAATGCTTTTAATGTTTAAATTATTTTTGTACTGTTGTGGGCATTGAATTGTGCCATTTTGTAAACCACCATGAGTCGCCCTCGGGCTGAGAATGGCAGTATAGAAGCATAGTAAACAAACAAACAAACAAACAAGAGGGAAAGGCTTGTTTTCTGCTGCCATGGAGACTAGGACTCAACGGAGACATGGATTCAAATGACAGGAGTGGCGATTCCACTTGAACTTAGGAAGGACCTCCTGGCCATAATCTTATGGTTATGTTGTTTTTTGCTTTGTATGTTTTGTGATGTTATCTGGGAACTGCTCTGAGTCCCCTCGGGGAGATGGAGCAGTATATAAATAAAGTTTTATTATTATTTATTATTATTAACTGTTCAACAGTGGAACTCTGTGCCTTGGAGTGTGGGGCAGGCTCTTTCTTTGGAGGCTTTTCATAGAATCATAGAATAATAGGTTTTAAAAATCCTTGCGTGTTATTGTTTATATGTGCGTTATATTAATTGTATTGTTTCTGCTTATTGTATTTAGTTTTATTGATGTGTTGTCGGGCTTGGGCTCATGTAAGCTGCTCTGAGTCCCCTTGGGGAGATGGTGGCGGGGTATAAATAATAATAATAATAATTATTATTATAGAGTTGGACGAGACCCCAAGGGCCATTCAGTCTAAACCTCTGCCATGCAGGAACACACAATACAAGCACTCCCAATAGACCGCCATCCAGACTCTGCTGAAAAACCTCTAGAGGTGATGCCATTGGACTCCCAGGCAGCATCATATTCCACTATCAGACAGCTCTCACTGCCAAGATGTTCTTTCTAATGTTTGCATGAAATCTCTCTCTTTTTTTGCCTTTTAAATCCATTGCTCCATTGTGCCTTAATCTCCAGAGAAGCAGAAAACAAGCTTGCTCCCTCCTCAATGTGACATCCTTTCAAATACTGAAATATGGCTGTCATGGCACCTCTTCTCGAAGCTAAACATCCCCAGCTCCTCAGAATAATAGAATTGGAAGAGACCTCGTGGGCCCACCAATCCAACCCCCTGCCATGCAGGGAAAGCACAATCAAAGCAGCCCTGACAGATAGCCGTCCAGCCTCTGTTTAAAAGCCTCCAAAGAAGGAGCTTCCTCTGGATTCCAAGACAGAGTGTTCCACTGCTGAACAGCTATTACAGTTAGGAAGTTCTTCTTAATGTTCAGGTGAAATCTCCTCTCCATTGTCCTAGTCTCCAAGGAAGCAGAAAACAAGCCTGTTCCCTCTTCCTTATGGCATCATTTCACATATTTATACATGGCTATCATGTCTCCTCTCCACCTTTTCTTCTGGGTCTCCTCTCAACAGACCCAGCTCTCTAAGAGAGGTTTTTTATGTTCTCCAGACCTTCGATTATTTTATTGCCCTTTCTCTGGATACCTTTCAGCTTAGAATCAATATCTCTTTTGAACTGTGGGGCCCAGAATTGGACACAGTATCCCAGGCAAAGAGGTCTAACTAAAGCAGAATAGAATAGAGACGCACAATTACTTTCCTTGATCTAGACACTATCCTAGAATTGCATTGGCTTTTTGAGCTGCTGCATCACATTCTTGGCTCATGTTCAGCTTGTTGCCCAAGAAGACTCCAAGATCTTTTTCACATGTTCTGTTGTCAAGCCAGGCGTCACTCATTCTGTATCTTCACATTTCATTGTTTCCTGCCTAAGTGTCATATCTTACCTTTGTCCTTGTTGAAATTAAACAGGGGCTGGATGGCCATCTGTTGGGGGTGGGTGGTGAGAGGGAGGGTTGATTGTCACAGAAAGAAGGGGGTTGGACTAGATAACATTTGGGATCCCTTCCAACTCTATTATTCTGTGACCCAATGTCACTCACAGAATCTTCATGGCATCATCTAATATTATATATTAATATTATATGCTAATATATATAATTCATTTAATATAATATAGCAATGTTGTATATTACTATATAATGTAATATAATATAGCAACAGTAATATATATAATTCATCTAATATAATATTAACTAATATATAATAAAATATAATATAGAAATTATATATATTGTATGACATTTCTATGCCACCCTTCTCACCCCGAAGGGGACTCAGAGCAGCTTACAAGATATACACATATACAATATATGATATTATTAGCATAGTACAATATCAGTATTAAATATTACTATATTGTACTATACCACTATATTGTAATATTATTAATAATATTAGCTGTAATATAAATATTATACGTATATACAATATATTATATTACATTATATGTATTCTAGAATTCATCTAATATAATATAGTAACATTTTATATAATTCATCTAATATAATATTAACAAATAAATAATAGAATATAATATAGTAATAATGTATATTATACAATTTATCTAATATACAATTACATTTTAATATTATGTATAATATATTAATTATTAATTAATATTATATATAATATATTATTAATTAATATTATATATAATATAATTCATGTAATATAATATAGGAATATTGTATATTAACATATATTGTAATATAATATAGTAATATATATCATATAATTTATATAATATAATAATATTATGTATAATATAATATATTAATTATTAATTAATATTATATATAATATAATTCAATTAATATAATATAGGAATATTGTATATTAATAAATAATGTAATATAATATAGTAATAGTATTATACATAATTCATCTAATACAATATTTAATATATAACACAATAAAATATAGTAATAATATATATTATATAATTTATATGATATTTTAATATATATTAATATTATGTATAATATATTAATTATTAATTAATACTATATATAATTCTTCTAGTATTACATCATATATTGAATAGTCATAAATAATGTAAATGATATTTTATTATATATTAATATTATGTATAATATAATATATTAATTATTAATTAATATTATATATAATATAATTCATCTAGTATTATTTCATATATAGTCATATTGTACAGTCACATATAATGTAGTATTATACATAGAATTCATCTAATACAACCTTATATGACACCTTAACGACTCACAGTGGAGAACACGGGCGAGACTCCTTCTCCTCCGCTTTCTTCTTTTCTTCTTCTTCACAAGCAAGGAAGCGGAAGCGGAAATGGACCCAGCTCTCGCGAGAAGAGAGGCGGAGTCCCTGACCACGTGACGCCCGCCGCGAGCCTTGGCAGCATGCAGAGCGGGATGGAGTACGTCACGTGATCCAAGCCACGCCCCCCTCTTTAGTCCATCAATGGGCAAGCCGCTTCAGAGGCGACAACGGCCCCTGCTGGTGGGAGAGGGAGCCTGCACTTACATGATCCAAGCCCCGCCCCCGCCCCGCCCCCTTTTCAGCGGAATCCTCGTCCAATTTCAGTCCACGAATGGGCAAGCCGCTTCAGAGGCGACAGCGGCCCCTGCTGGTGGGAGATGGGACCTGCACTTTCAAAAAGATGCTGGGGTAATATTACTATTACTATATTATATTACAATATATGTTAAATATACAATATTCCTATATTATATTAGATGAAATATATTATATATTATATATATTATATATATTATACATAATATTAATATATAATACTATATTAGATGAATTATAGATAATATCATTATTACTATATTATATTACATTATATATTAATATACAATATTCCTATTAGATGAATTATATATAATATTAATTAATATTTAATACATTATTCATAATATGTAATTCTATATTACATAAATTGTATAATATGTATTGTTACTATATTATATTGTATTATATATTAATTAATATTATATTAGATGAATTATATATAATATTACTATTATATTATATTATATTAATATACAATATTCCTATATTATATTAGATGACTTATATATAATATTAATAATTAATATATTATACATAATATTAATATATAATACTATATTAGATGAATTATAGATAATATTATTATTACTATATTATATTACATTAAACCTGCACTTTAAAAAAGATCTTGCTGCTGGAGTAATATTACTACTACTATATTATATTACATTATATATTAATATACAATATTCCTATTAGATGAATTATATTAATAATTAATATATTATACATAATATTAATATATAACACTATATTAGATAAAATATATAATATATATTATTACTATATTATATTGTATTATTAATTAATTAATATTATATTAGATGCATTATATATAATATTACTATTATTATATTATATTACATTATATCTTAATATACAATATTCCTATATTATATTAGATGACTTATATATAATATTAATAATTAATATATTATACATAATATTAATATATAATACTATATTAGATGAATTATAGATAATATTATTATTACTATATTATATTATATATTAATATACAATATTCCTATTAGATGAATTATATTAATAATTAATATATTATACATAGTATTGATATATAACACTATATTAGATAAAATATATAATATATATTATTACTATATTATATTGTATTATTTATTAATTAATATTATATTAGATGAATTATATTGTATTATTTATTAATTAATATTATATTAGATGAATTATATATAATATTACTATTATTATATTATATTATATTACATTATATCTTAATATACAATATTCCTATATTATATTATATTATATTAGATGACTTATAGATAATTCATTCTCTCTCTCTCTCTCTTCTTTTCCTAGGGTAACTTTATAAACACGACTAATAATATAAAGTTACTCCAAGGCTGAGAGACTCAGCCTTTCTGGAAAACCCTGCATTTGCCCATTTGAGCAAGTTTTTAAATTTTTATTTTATTTATTTATCGTGTCAGGAGCAAACCAAGCAGTTGTATGGCATTTTTTAACAAACAAACAAACAAAACATAAAGTTTGCAAGCTTGGTAGTTGATTAAATGTCCTTTGACCGGTAAAGTTTCTAAAATAATACTATGTATATAACACCAATATAATATAATGTAAATATTATATATATACTACAACTTATGATATACTGGGAAGCCCTGGCCCTTGACCGCTCCAGCTGGAGGTCAGCTGTGACCAGCAGTGCTGCAGAATTTGAAGAGGCACAAATGGAGGGTGAAAGGGAGAAATGTGCCAAGAGGAAGGTGCGTCAAGCCAACCCCGACCGAGACCACCTTCCACCTGGAAACCATCTTCCTACATGGCAGAAAGGGATTGGACTGAATGGCCCTTAGGGGGTCTCTCCCAACTCTAGGATTTTATGATTCTAGTGTTGTTGTTTTTATGCAGAGGCTGGATGGCCATCTATTGGGAGTCCTTGGATTATGTCCTCCTGCATGGTAGAAAGGGGTTGGACTGGATGGCCCTTAGGGGATCTCTCCCAACTCTAGGATTCTATGGTTCTGTTGTTGTTGTTGTTGTTGTCATGCAGAGGCTGGATGAACATCTGTTGGGAACAATTAGATTGTGTCTTCCTGCATGGCAGAAGGTGGTTGGACTGAGTGGCCCTTAGGGATATCTTCCAACTCTAAGATTCTGTGGTTCTTCTTCTTCTTCTTCTTCTTATTATTATTATTATTATTATTATTATTATTATGCAGATTCTAGATGGCCATCTGTTGAGAGTGATTGGGTTGTTTCCTCTTGCATGGCAGAAAGGGATTGGACTGACTGGCCCTTAGGGGGTCTCTCACAACTCTAGGATTCTATGGTTCTATTATTATTATTATTATTATTATTATTATTATTAAACAGATTCTAGATGGGTATCTGTTGAGTGTGCTTGGGTTGTGTCCTCTTGCAGGTTGGACTGGATGGCCTTTAGGGGTCTCTTCCAGCTCTATGAGTCTATGAACATTCAATATGTTTATTGCGCTTACCAGTAGCCACAACAAAGAACTATGAAATGTATACAACATTCAACACAAAAATCAGAATCAATACTTTGAGTATCTGTGGCAATTATATCTAGCTCTCCCTTTCTGATCTTTTTTTGCAGCCAAACTTGAACTGAATGCAGATGGTTTGCGTCCGACAAAAATGTCCAACCACTCCCATAAAACCACTTACATATTTGTAATAGAATTCATTAATCAAATGTATCTTCAAGATGCCTCATAGCTGGTGGGTGACCCAATGCCTTTTGTAGGGTTTTCTAAGGCTGGATCTCCACTGGCTTATAATGTAGTTTGAACTGCATTATATGGCCAACGTAGACCCATATAGTGCAGTTTAACGCAGTTCGATTTGCATTGCATGGATCTACACTGATTTTTTAATGCAATGCAAACTGCATTATATAGCAGTGTAAATACAGCCTAAGGCAAGGAGTACTCCAGAGATGCTTTGCTGTTGTCTTCCTCTGAATCTTTATATGGTTAGATGCTTGATGCACAGTATCAACACAGAGTTGGAAGAGACCTTGTGGGCCATCCAGTCCAACCCTCTGCCAAGAAGCAGGAAAAATGCATTCAAAGCACTCCCGACAGATAGCCATCTAGCTTCTGTTTAAAAGCCTCCAAAGAAGGAGCTTCCACCACACTCCGAGGCAGAGAGTTCCACTGATGAATAGCTCTTACAATTAGGAAGTTCTTCCTCAAGTTCAGGTGGAATCTCCTGGTTATAGTTTCTGTACACTCATTGTTATTGTTTCTGTACAGTTGTGCTGGTACGGCTGTACCAGGAGCTCCAACCTCATTTTCTTTCTATTGAGTGTTTGCATGTGTTCCAATGTTCCATGCATTTTGCAATAAGGTGGTTTCCCTTGCTCTGCAATTATAGGGCCAATGACCCGTCAATCATCATTATGTTCTTTAGTTCCGCCGCTTTCCCCAGGGCTCTGGGAGGGAAAATCATCTATCGGACAGATGGCAAACTACTCAACCTCAGCAGACTGAAAGCCAAAACCAAGGTTACAACATCTGTTATAGAACTCCAGTATGCTGATGACAACATCGTCTGTGCGCATTCAGAAGATCTACAACCCACTCTAAACACCTTTACAGAAGCATACGAGAAGCTCGGCCTATCATTGAACATTGAAAAACCAAGGTTCTGTTTCAGCAGACACCAGCCAATCCCTCTCCAATGCCAGTGATACAGCTTCATGGTGTAACATTGGAAAATGTTGATCATTTCCGCTACCTTGGCAGCCACCTCTCCACCAAAGTCAACATTGACACTGAAATACAACACCGCCTGAGCTCTGCAAGCGCAGCATTTTTCCGAATGAAGCAGAGAGTGTTTGAGGACCGGGACATCCATAGGGATACCAAGGTGCTTGTTTATAGAGCTAATGTCCTCCCAACCCTGCTATATGCCTGCGAAACGTGGACTGTCTACAGACGTCATATGCAACTCCTGGAACGATTCCATCAGCGCTGCCTCTGGAAAATCCTGCAAATCTCTTGGGAAGAAAGGGGGACAAACGTCAGCGTGCTGGAAGAAGCAAAGACCACCAGCACTGAAGCGATGGTCCTCCGCCATCAACTCCGCTGGACCAGCCACATTGTCTGGATGCCCGACCACCATCTCCCAAAGCAGTTGCTCTATTCTGAACTCAAGAACGGAAAACGGAATGTTGGTGGACAGGAAAAGATTTAAAGATGGGCTCAAAGCCAACCTTAAAAACTCCGGCATAGACACTGAGAAGTGGGACCACTCCAGCTGGAGGTCAGCTGTGACCAGCAGTGCTGCAGAATTTGAAGAGGCATGAATAGAGGGCGAAAGGGAGAAGCGTGCCAACAGGAAGCCGCGTCAAGCCAATCCCGTACGAGACCGCCTTTCACCTGGAAACCAATGCCCTCACTGTGGGAGAAGATGCAGGTCAAGAATAGGGCTCCACAGCCACATACGGACCCACAAGAACACTGGAAGACAATCCTCCTCGGAAAACGAGGGATCGCCTAAGAAGAAGAAGAAGACAGATCCAAACCATTCGTGGAGAAAATCCAAAAGGACTCCAGCTGGAAAATCTACAAAGTCTTGACTGGTAGGTCTACTCGGGTAACCAGAAGCAATTGGAGCCGGGAGTAGGGCCCACTCCAGCAGAGCCTAGAAAGCAGATTGCCTGGGAGGGGTCAAAAAGGGTTTTCCTTGTTAAATAAAGAAATAGTTATCCAAGCAAGTTGCCTGTCCTTTGTAGACAAGTT